GGGGGGGCCGCCGTTCCCCGGCCGGCAGCGCACCGGCGGCTGCCCACCGCGCCCGCTCGCCGCCGGGCTCCGAAAACAGTAAGAACCACCGGGCGATCTCCCGTGCGGGGCTTTTCCTCCGACACCCGCTTTACGAATTACCGCTGCGCGGTCACAGCGGCCGTGAGGAACAACGCGCGGATTGACTTCGTGGGCTCCTACTGCTGTATTTTTGAGGGAAAAAAGGTGTACGCGTACAGACAGGGAGTTATTTCATCGAGATTAATACGCAGCCCTCCGCGAAGCGCCCCAAGACCCCGAACGACCCCGCTGACAGCGCAGGACGGGGACCGACGCGAACGCACCCGCCGCCGCTCCGCACCGCGCAGCGGGACGGGTCTCGCCGTCCCGGGCTTACCGAGGGCTCTGCTCCCGGTGGCTCTGCCCGCTCCTCCCGGCGCAGCTCGGTGGAGGCCCCCCTGCAGGCGCTCGCTCTGTGTCGCGCCGCCGAGGACAGCCGGTAGCTCTCCTGTCGTACCTCCGACGGTGCCGAGCGCGGGGGAGGGAGCCCCGGCGGGCTCCGTGCTGGCCGCGCCTCTGGCCGAGCTCTCCGCGGACGCGCACTCTCCCCGCCGGGGCCGCGCCGGCCGCTGCAGCGCTCGGAGGGCGGCGGGACAGCCCAACCGCGCCGTCCCCGGGCGAGAGGCGGGTGCCCGGGACACGGTCGCCTCCCGGGGCAGGGAGCCCCGCAGGGCGCGCGCAAACGAGCCCGGGGCCCGCGGGACTCGGCCCCGAAAGCCGCCGCGGGCCAGCGGGCGGGACCGGGGCGTCCAGCGGCCGGCGGGGGCCCGCGTCCTCCCGGGGGCCGCTCGGGGCTCCGGGCCGAGGGGGGAGCCGGAGCGCACCCCTCCCGCCGCTCCCGTTCTGGGCCGGGCCGGGCCGGGCCTGCTGCGGGTCGCGCCAGAAAACCCCCCGTGGGCTACCTGCCGGCGGCGGCTGCTGGGGACACGGGACTAGATTTAGGCGAGGGTCTGTCCGGGGTTAGATCCGTTTTAGCGCCGGCCAAACGAGCGACTGACGGGGATGCCCCGGGTTTACCGGGCCTCGGCACCGCCACTCGTTCAGTTACGGTCCTGCAGGATCGGGTCCCGGGATTTGAAACAACGATCGTAATTTTTAGGGGGAGAAGAACGCGGGACTTCTCCTTTCGTTCACCTTCCCAACGGCAGAATCCCCTTTTACCAAACTTGTCACGTTTCTACCCGTATGGGCACCCCCGAGGGTGCTTTACCGAGGCTCCGCAACGCGTCTGGCGTCTATCGTCAGGCGGAGCTGCAACAGAGAGAGGGGGAAAGATGGAAACATAACGACAAGTTTAATTAAAAACACCTGGCTCGTTAAATACGTGCGGAGAAGCAGACACCCCCGTTATTTACCTCACCTGCGACGGACGAGCTGCCGCCCCGTTCCGCTATGCCCTCCCGGGCCCGCAGCGGCGGTTGGGTTGCGGGAACTCTGCGGGCACGGTTTGTAGGCCTGGGAAAAGCGAGCGGGCGCCCCCGGCCCCCCCCGCTCAGAGGCATTTTTGAGTTTTGCGGGGGGCTGCGGGCAGCCGGGTCCCAGCACCCTCTGTCCGCGGCGCGACCCAAGGTGCTGCGGCTAATTAGTAACGTCCGCGGTCTCTCAGGCGTGATTTCCGAGTAACGCCACCGCCTTCGGGCAGCTCAGATGCTCCTTTTTTAGGTTAACGAGAAAGGTTTTATCGGGAGATCTCGGAGGCGCGAGCGACCACCGCGGCGGGGCGGGATCGGGAGCTGCGGGACCGCGCTCGGGGTCCGGCGCTGGAAGCGCTTTCCCGCCAGCACGTACCCTCCGCGCTCCGCCGCGTTTGTCTCCCTCGCTAATTCGGGGGTGTAACTCCGAGCTCTGCTGGGGCGGCGGGGGAAGCTGCGGCAAACGGGGGAGACAAACGGGGGGAGGGATCCTCTGGGGTTCTTTCGTTGCTGGTTGTTTTTTGTTGTTGTTGTTGGGGGTGTCGTCGTCCCCCGCCTC